GACTTTTCGTCTGTGAACTTTGGGGAAATTAGCTTGGTAGGATAGCAACTCGCTTTTTCTACTGTAATGCTAAATTGGCAAAGAGAAACAATTCCGATTAAAGTTGAATGATGTTTATTGTAGAGTCACAAGATAGAAAGTGAAAATTTTATAAGTTGTTACACAAAAAATCATAATAAACACATACAGTAATTATCAAAGTTACCAATATGAAATAGTCGAATAACTTTCGACCTGTAGCGAAAACCGCTATTAAAAAGTATGATTACAGAACAGAAACTAAAGAACGGTCGTTTACGTGAAATAAATCATGCGTAGCGCTTAACTAAGTTTTTACAGATACAAAAGTTAAAAATCAAAAGTTGACAATAAAATCAGAAAACTTACAAACATTAAACTCCATAGACATTGTTTACAAAAGTTCGGGAAAATTTAAATACCTTCTCTGACTAGAGAGTTCCGAACAGGGAAAATAATTCATGAGCGGTAAAATTAAATTTCCGAAAACTTAACAAAGATAGAAAAATTCCAAAAACTCTATTTTGTATAAAATTCAACAAGGAAATGATGCTATCAACGTTATTATATAATTTCAAACATTATCTAACATTTAAATGGAAAGAAACAATTTATTATAATTGATAATTTGTAAGCATTTCAGATATTTCAAAGTTCTGTAAAAATCAAATGAACTAAGTAATTTATCCTAATTCCATATTAAAAATACTTAAAAGAAAAATCATAAAAACATTAATTGATTAAAATAATTATAAAGAAAATTAAAATTAAACTATAACTTAACATTTGAATAAAATTAAAAACACAAGCTTACCTAAATTGGCAAAGAGAAACAATTCCGATTAAAGTTGAATGATGTTTATTGTCACAAGATAGAAAGTGAATTTGCTAAATTCACAATCTATCCGGACTCTATTTCGGAATTGAACTCTCGACCAATCAGGATGCTTGTTACAAAACTTATTACAGGTAAAGCGGCAATTTCCTTTGATAGGCTTGACACTGATTACTTACATTATCAAAGAGCCGAAAGGTGATGAAGTCAATTAGCTTAATTTCCGTTCTGAGTTTTTAATAATAGGAAGATTAGGTGAAGCCGAAACAAAATAAACAGGATTCTAAATCGTACAAATAATTTAATACCTATGTCATAGCTATGTGTCAAGCCAATCTCGCAAATAATTTACGTACAAAAAGGCCGAAATAAAAAAAGAATTTAGCAGTTTATTTAGTAGATAAAATAATTGATTCGTAATCTGTCATGAGTAAATTGATTTCCGAAAGGTGACAGATTGCTCAAATTCCACATTTTACTGATATCCGAAAGAGTATATATTTTATTATGTGAAAAAGAAATAAATGTTAAAATATTTTAAAGAAAACTAAAAAAAATTTAATAAATTTAAAATTAAGAAAAAGGAATTATTTTCATAAAAATTTAAACACATTAAAAATGTCAAATCACAATGAATTAAAATTCATATAATATAACCTGTTACATTAAAGTTTTAAAATTCAGAGAATTTAAAACTAACTATAACTAGTTAGTTTTAAATTCTCTGAATTTTAAAACTTTAATGTAACAAAACTGCTTAATTAAAAAAATTCAGTTTTAAAATGTCCCCCTTTTTGCGCGTCTATTTTCCGTTGATTTCTCATAGTAGGCCTTAACAGTGCTGCGAAGAGGTTTTGTTTGTTTCTCCAATGTTATTACCTTATTATTTACTAGTATATAAAACTGACACAGCGGATTGAAAAAATGAAAAAGATAAAAAGCCTATATTTCTGAAATTCTCTTTTAAGGATGACAAAAACATTTCTGTCGAAAAACTATTAAATGAATAAACATATGTGTGGAAAATTACATGATAGAAGTAGATTCAGAGGTATCTTTGTTTAATAAAACTCTGCAAAAATAATAAGTAACATTAGTAATCGAACTTATATTTACTAGCGCACAAAAATTCACAAAAGTTCAATTATTTACTTTAAATCTGAGTGTTTTATTTGAATATTTGGTAATGATAATTCTTTATAAGAAAATAATACTCTGACAAAAATTTAGTCACTTCTGCTTGAAACTTTGGTTTTGATAGTAATGTAGATAAAAGCTTGAAAAAATTTTGATAAGGTTCTTCTGACGATTTTAGGCTTTGTTTTTGTTTTTAGCTCACCTGAGCCGAAGGCTCAAGTGAGCTTTTCTGATCAAAATTTGTCCGTTGCCTGTCGTTGTTGTCGTTGTCGTCGTCGTCGTAGTCGTTGTCGTTGTAAACTTTTCACATTTTCATCTTCTTCTCAAGAACCACTGGGCCAATTTCAACCAAACTTGGCACAAAGTATCCTTGGGTAAAGGGGATTCAAGTTTGTTCAAATGAAGGGCCACGCCCTTTTCCAAGGGGAGATAATTATGAATTTGTTAAAAATTAATGGCATTTTTTAAAAATCTTCTTCTCCAGAACTGCTGGGCCAGGAAAGATGAAACTCATGTGGAAGCATCCTCAGGTAGTGTAGATTCAAATTTGTTCAAATCATGACCCCCGGGGCAAGGGTGGGGCCAAAATGGCTGAATCAAGTTTTACATAGGAATATATAGAAAAAATCTTTAAAAATCTTCTTCTCCAGAACCACTGGGTCAGGAAAGATGAAACTCATGTGGAATCATCCTCAGGTAGTGTTGATTCAATTTGTTCAAATTATGACCCCTGGGGCAAGGGTGGGGCCAAAATGGCCGACCCAAGTTTTTCATAGGAATATATAAGAAAAATCTTTAAAAATCTACTTCTCCAGAACCACTGGGCCAGGAAAGATGAAATTCATGTGGAATCTTCCTCAGGTAGTGTAGATTCAAGTTTGTTCAAATCATGACTCCCGGGGCAAGGGTGGGGCCAAAATGGCCGACCCAATTTTTACATAGGAATATATAGGAAAAATCTTTAAAAATCTTCTACTCCAGAACCACTGGGCCAGGAAAGATGAAACTCATGTGGAATCATCCTCAGGTAGTGTAGATTCAAGTTTTTTCAAATCATAACCCCCGGCCCTGGGGATAGGGTGGGGCCAAAATGGCCGACCAAAGTTTTACATAGGGATATATAGGGAAACCTTTTAAAATCTTCTTTTCAAGTACTTCAAAGCTATGATTAGTGATACCCGGGGTATTTATATGGAATCATCCTCAGGTAGTGTAGATTCTAGTTTGTTCAAATGATGAACGCCTGGAAAAGGGGGGGGGAGTAAATTCAAGCCTGATGTGCTCAGGTGAGCGCTGTGGCCCCTGGGCCTCTTGTTAAAATTATGTGCTATTTGAATCCAGTTAGTCTGTTTTGCGTAACCACTCCGTTATGCACCAAGGACAAATCAAATTCAGTTGACTTTAATTTTCATTAGGAATAAGGTCATTTATTATTGTACAAAAGTTGTATTTTTACTATTATTTAATGAGATAATTGCTTTTTATTTGAAATAGGATTTTGGTTTCGAACTAGATGAAATTTCAAAGTATATTTGCTGATAATGTCTTATACGGTATATTTAAGTGTAAGTGATTTAATAGACCATATTTTTCAATCCTCATTAAAAATGTAGTACTTTAAATAATAATTGTATACTGCGTTTGAGAACTAGCAGGGACTAAATTCTTGCGGAACGGTGGCGTAAGAAAATATCTTCTTTTCTGCCTCTCAAAAAAATTATAGAACAGTGAATTTAGTTATAATTTAATTTTTTAACAATCAAAGACTCGAAGAAATTTTCAACTGTAAATTAATGTATATTGCTTTACACAATTGTACGTTTAAAGTTTCAAAATATATCAAATAAATATTATTTTTCAAAGAAACTAGAACAATGTTACCTTTTCAATGCTTCCAATCTAAGTACAGATTTTAGCCAAAACTCCGTAAAAAAGTTTTTTCTCATTTGTTTTTGTATCATTTTGTATCTTTACCATACGTGAAAATATGAAATATTTAAATATAGGAAGAATATAAAAATAAATAATATATCCTTAAAATGTAGAGAAAATTCGGATTAACCAATTATCTATTTTAGTGAAATTATGTAATATGTCAGTTTGATAATATCATCTTATAGGTCCTATAAGGTAGCATCTTCTTATGCAAATAAAAAAACATTCAGACAATCTTTTGAAATAGAAGTAGGAATCGCATGATTGGAAACAATATTTTTATTCTTAATGTCCAGGGAAAATGTAATGACCTTGACCTGACCTTGCCTCTACTAAAAAACGGTAAAACTTAATCTTACTGATACCATATTGTCTTCTTGATTCTGTGAAAATTAATTAATTTTTAAATACAAGAAATATGAGAAGAATCTTACCTTAATTGAGTCGACATCATTAACATATATGTAGTGCTTAGAAATTTTACATTGTTCTATTTGAATATTCATATATTCTACCGCACCCTACCAAGTATTATGAAACAGGATGCTTGTTGTAGATGTCTACTGGATTTAATATAGAAATACACTAATTTCATGACATCACCATGTAAAAGATGCACCATGAAACTCTTACCCTGATTAATCAAAAGAAAAAAGATTAATACTTTTTTAATAAGAAAATACAGAATGCACCTGTATACACTTTTTGCAGATATGAAGTAAAACTTTTGATTTTTTGGCTTTATCTTTTATCATCAAATGTTATAAGATTTTTTTTTTTTATTAAAAAATATATCATTTTTATGGCAAAAAGATAAATTGAATTATATATTTGCTATTCACCATCAAAACATGATTTTTTTCATTCACATCTCATCCGTTTCCTAGATTTCAGGAAATAACCATTAGTATTTTGCAAAGGACGCTTACAGTATAGTAATCAGATTGCTCTACAGGAAATTTGACTGGATCGCTTCGAATAACAAACAATCATAGATTGTTAATATGTCTTTTTTATCTTCATGATTATATCAAGCTAAAAATGCTAAGTAAAGGTAAATGTTAAAACCAGCGCGCCTTAAAATATTGGGGATGTCTGCATGCATATTTTTCCTTTCATCACTTATCATCCTGATCAGTCGTTCATCTGCGTACGGTAAGATTTAATTTATTATGCCTTTTTTTCCGTACTTATTTTTTGATTTATCCGAAAATAATATAAAGACATTTTTAAGTATATTTTCATGCTTCCGAATCACCACTGTTTTTTTTTTTATAAAGCAATGACCCAACAATTAGATAAATATTTCTACAAAAGTATATACTGCATGTAAACAAGATTAAATAAAATGAACTCAGTCGAATTTGATCGATATGTTTCTAGAATTTTCTATTAGACATCCGATGACCTTCTTCAATAGAATTCTGTTTACTACTAACATTGTTGTAGTTTAAGCTTATCGTATACAAACCATTCATATGATTTATCAAATTTAATTACATTTGGACTATATTGTAAACCAAGAATCAAAATAATCTACACATTGATCTCTAGGTAAACAATTTAATAAAAGTCACTGATCAATAAGATACTGAAAAAGAGAAACGGACAAAAAAGAGGGATTAAAAAAAATCTTTCTTCTAAATATATCATATAACAAACCTAAAAATAACGTGTACTATACTCTTTTTTTTAAATTAGAGAACATAGCATATAAGCGACCAGCATGGCAAAGAACAACACACCCTTCAGGGTTTGGACCGGATAAGGCAGTTGATGGATTAAAATCTAACTTATCTGCAAGTGGTCACCAGTGTAGCATATCAGCAAATTATGAAAATATAGCTTCATTGAGTGTCAACCTACTTGGAATAAAATTTATTCATCATCTGCTTATATATTACAGAACAGACAACAATCCTTGGGGTATATGTGACACATATTTGTAAAATATGTGTCACAATTGTATTGTCATATTGTATTACACGCTTTTACTTAGACAAGCTTGAACTGTGAAATCTTCATTTATAAGGGGAAAATTGTTTAAATTTTTGTTTTCTTTTTTTAGGTGAAAATAATTCCTTAGCTGGAAGATTTCTGGGATTCGCTGTCTATATATCAGACACTGAAAATAAAGATGATGGTAGATTATGTTTCCATGACAACGAATACAATATGTCTACAATACCAGCTGTGGCCAATATCACGTGTGAGTTATACGGCCAGTATGTCATCTATTATAACGAAAGAAGAAACGACACAGTTTACCCGATTGGTTATTCGAAATACGCATACAGTGAGCTCTGTGAAGTTGAAGTTTATGGTAAGAATCATAATAAATTCATTATAATAAATATTTCATGCCAAGAAGTATTTATTATACTTTCGGATTGTATATGAATACGACGTACATGTACGTGTATGATTAATTTTATTTTTGTTTTTTATCAATGATATATTCATAAGATGCAAAGGGATAAAATTCTTTTTTTTTCAATGTTAAAAAATAAAAAACAAAAGTACTGGTTTCTAGAATATCTCCTCAAGAACCACTAGGCAGATTTTTGCCAAATTTAAACACGTTGATGAGGATATTTTTAGATTAAAGTTAGCTCAATTTTTTACAATAAGGCGACGTGTGTGCTCTCAAGGTAATCTAAAACTTAAATTTGTCCAAAATTTATGATTTGCTAAAACGTATAAACAAATTTAATAATCAATCAGTTATGAATACAACTGTGCAAAAATTTTAACTTTAGCAATATCTTCTTTACAAAATCTAAATTCAAGTTTGTTCAAATAATTACCTTGGGAAAATGTGGGACTACAAAGCATAACTTTTTGCTGAGAAAGGCTCAATCCACATTACTGTAGATTGTACATTTGCCTAGTGACATCTCACTTATTAATAGAACACTAACATGTATGTCACATTTCAAATTTACTTTTATGCCAACCAAGTATTAATGGATTATATCCAGCCAGAGTCCGAGCTTGTTTTGCGAAAATTAGACACAATACCCATATTGTGTGAAAAGGTCATTTATTCACAAAAGTATATATCTCATAATATTGAATATTATATAATAGGCATTTAGAAAAATACATCATATGATGTGATTGAATAAATGACACATAGATTCGCAAAGGTGGGGATAAATATGTTGCCACCTAAGAACAAAAGCATCTAGAGTTTCTGACAGAAAATGTGAGAGGTAAGTGGGCGGGATTTAAATCGTCCTTGCAGTGCGTAGCACAATCAAGGAATGCCGCAAACGATTCAGACCCCTGGAAAATCCTCGGGGCGACACATATCAAAGACCAATTAAAAGCGCGCATTCCGCTCACGACCCACAATAGACAACAGAGTAGGAATGTGAGCAACCGTAAATGCATAATATTTTATGCAACATAATTAAGAACAAAGGCACAGATCAAATGAGCAATTGTTCAACCACACTCACGTATGCTTCTCCTGTTGAGTATACCTGTGAGCGACCATGAGCGACCATAAGCAAGGCTCACCAATAACAGGAGCATTATGCATAATAATGTGAGAAACCAATGAGATAAACACACACAACTGCTAAGTATTGCAGATAAAATGTGTACACACAACAGATGTTGTGAAATATAAACAAGCGACACAAAAATCTAGGGTCAAATGATTGTCCGAATACCATAAACAACATCATTAATATTAAACAATGTGAAATAATATTGTCAGGGTGTTATGCCCTGTAAAGATACATTAGAACTTAAAAACATCCACGTCTATGGCAAATACCAATGGCAGATCTAATGCTCTTTGTATATTTCAGCATTCCTAATGGATTTAAATGCACCCCATTACAGAGCATAAGAGAACTGCTGTTTTGCCAAAAACCGCGATGGTGCCAAAAGGTAATCTTTGGATTGCCTCGGCATAAATGTTCAATATGTTTATTAACTTGACAAACAATGTTGTTAAAGAGATTCCCACAACGGCGAGAAAACCTTCGCAACAATTGACCAATAATAATATGCTTAACGTTGTAAGTTTGAACGACAAATGAGGCGAAAGAAACAATATCGCGGGCTAATTTTGCAGGATCCGAGTCAACTCGAATGTCATTGCCTCCGACCTGCAGAAAAAGCACTTGAGGTAGAAACTTCTCTAAGATATTCATATAACAAGGTTTTTGCAAACATTTCTGACCCAGTCGGACAGTTCCATCCCCAATTCCTTTAAAACGAACATGAAATTGACCGGCATCAAGAGATAAATTTTTCAATTCTCTGTGAGATATGATAAATTCGTCAAGACGACGAATGAAGGAATGACCAAATACTAAAACCCGACAAGTCATAATGAATGCAAACATATATTATTAAAGAATTATGGTTCGCCTATACCTTTTAAATCGTCCTTGCAGTAGCAAAATTTAAATCGTCCTTGCAGTGCGTAGCCCAATCAAGGAATGCCGCAAACGATTCAGACCCCTGGAAAATCCCCGGGGCGACACATATCAAAGACCAATTAAAAGTGCGAATTCCGAGGTATACAGAATGATACAGAGTTAACTGCGGCTAAAATTTACTCGCACTGAGTCATGTATCATTTCCGGTAATACATTACGCGTAAACTCTAGATGCTTGAGTTGATTAGCAATATGACAAATCCAAAATAAAATAGTTATATCTAAACTTGTTGTCATAAACTATTTTATTTTCCCATAAAATTCAAATCAAATTGGTCGCTGGCGTGGCACAGTGGTTAGAGTATCTATTCTAGAGTCGCAATGTAAGGAGTTGATCCTTACGTCGCAGGTTCGAATCCCACTGTGGGACGTGGAGACCGGTCTTTCGGATGAAACCGTATAAACCGAGATCCCATGTCGCAGAAGGTGCTGAAACGAAAAATATCCCTCACTACCCTATGGCCCTGATAATCGAGTTCAGCTCTCTACCGGCAAGTGGAAGTGTCTCAAGTGACAGACGTTTAACAATATACCATCATTCATGTATAAATTGAAATGTCTGTGTTGTTTTAAGAAATTCAATATATTTTCATTTATTGATTATATGTTGTTCAATGTCCAGCTTGACGACTGTTCACTTATATACAGACACTATTGAATGTCGTTGAAGTGCTTCAAATATAAACCTATTCTCAGCACGCAGGACCATTGAGCAAAGGGATTTTTTTCGTCTGCAAACCCCTGACACGAGAAAGGCCAAAGATTTTCCCATCTAGTGACAGACGCTCGGTCGAGTAACAGTTATAACCTATATTTACATCTTACGTAGGTCTGACCCGCAAAAAGAAAATCAAACTCAGTCCTCGCCACGAGATCTGTCAATCAAATGCTCATAATTAATATCTTTTATTTTCCTTTTATTGTGACATCCTGTCACTCTCAATATAATGCAATTCTATGACAATATGAATTAATTCAAATTAAAATAATCAGTTTCGCTTCGTTTTCCAATACGTTTAACACCACAGATGATAATCTTGTTTATTATTCATGTACATTTATGTTCGACTTCTGGTGTATTGTGAATGCACTTAACAAAGTATACTGAGAATGGAGGATAACTTTTTGAAAAAGGAAAGAATGAACATTGTTGTTATGACAATGTAATTTTAATTGTTACACTATTTGCTCTACAGGATGTTCTCAAGGAATTTATGGACCAAACTGTTTATACCCTTGTCCAACACATTGTCCAAATTGTAATGCAGAAACAGGTACCTGTTTATGGTGTGAAGCCGGGTACATTGGAGAATATTGTAATTCTAGTAAGCTTTTTGGATGATACATTTGTATTAGTTTTGAAGTCAATTATAACTAAACGTTCACATTTTACTATGACATAATTTTCAATTGAAATTCAAGACATCACACGATGACGTTGTAGTAAAGAGCTTCTTTTAACTTTAGACTCATTGGCGTATTTGTAAGAGATAATGAGTTAAAAGATTAATCCATTGAGTTGTTTTGTTTACATAATGTTACATTGTACAAAAAAGTGTAAATTTGTCGAAAAATACCTTGGGCACTGCTTTAACATACCTACGCATAGAAACATAGAGAGTTTTTATTCTTAATATTATAAAAATTTCTCCATTATTTGACAACAAAATGTTTTAACCCAGGCATTTCTTTTTGTATCATGTTTACTTAAGGCAAACATCAAATTACTGACCCATAATCGCTTCAGATGCAATAGCATTAAAAGTATAACATAGTTTTTTTTTTTACTTTTAATTCAGTATACTAAGACAACTTTTTTTTTGATTTTGTATCGGTATTTAAGTGTTCTATATTATGGGCATTTTTTTCATTCTTTTAAGGCTTACCACACGTTGCTTTTAATTAATACAAATAAATTCTTTCACTGACGATCAAGATCATTTAAAAAAAAAAAATTACTTAGTTTTTTGGTTTGTTTAGTTTTGTTTATTAATGAGCAGTTTTTTCAGTTGCAACATGAGAGATCAATTTGACCGATAAGTTCAAAAATTGTGTCAACCAAATTAGGTTCAATTAATATTTCTAAATTTGTTATCTAATTACGTTTTTGTTTGAAACTGTTTGGCCCAAAATTTTGAACGTTAAACATTTTTTACTAATGACGGAAATTAATTTCAATTTGTTTATTTAATACAATTCCATGATATTTCCTGCTCCTTAGTAGTATTGTACTTGTGTTCAGGATTTTTTCATAGGTTAAATTGATTTAATACCAGTTTTTTAAATCTGCACTATGATAATAAATTATTTTTATGAAAAACTTACTAATTATAATTGTTTCGCTTTTTTGACTTGTTTTCTACGAAACAATGCAATGGCTTAGCTGAAACAAACAAGATGTGTTTTTGAAACACTGATGTCCCCCGACCCCTAGCTTAAGATAAATGTTGAATTTTCTCAAATGCATCAAATTACAAAGGTCAAAAGTGTTGGTACTCAACGGGAGGTCTTATTATATGGAATACACTGGTGAAGTATGAAATTCCTAGTTCTAACTGTTCCAAAGTTATGGTCAAGGTTAAATTTTCAAAAACCGGTCAAACTTTAAGATCAAGGTTAATGTCTAAAGTTCAAATATATTTATACTTTCTGTAAGGACTCGTCAAAATAAATACACATGTGAGGTATGGAAGCCCTTGCTCCAACTGTTCAAAAATTATGACTTAAGAGAAAGATTTTAAAAATTTGGTCAAACTCTAAGGTCAAGGTCAAAATGTGAAAAATATTTAACCCACTAAAAAGATTTATCAAAATGAATAAACACGTGAAGTATGAAAGTCCTAGAATCAATTGAATTGTTCAAAAGTTATTACCCAGGTTAAAGTTTTTAAAAAGTGGCTCCAACTATAAGGTTAATGTCAAAAGGTAAATTAAGTATTTACACCCTATAAAGGGTCTTGTCAAAATCAATACACACGCGGCGTATGAAAGCCATTGCTCCAATTCTTCAAAAATTAAGGCCCAGGTTAACATTTACTTTGTTTTGTTTTTGTTTGTTTTTTTTGGTAAAAATGTCAAACTCCAAGGTCAAGGTCAAGAGGTCAAATTTGGTGGTAACCAAAGAAATGTCTTACATATATCACAAGAAATACACCTTTGAAATATGAAAGTCAAAGCTCCAGTCACTCAAACGTTCTGGGCAAGGTTAATTTTTTTTGCAGATAGACAAACAGACAATCAGACAGACAAAAAGATTTTAAAAAATGGACGGACGGACAGGACAAAAACCATATACCCCTAAAACGGCGTTTACAGGGGCATAAAAAGCCTCTAATGTGTTCAATCAAATGAAACTAGGAGAAAGAAGCTTAGTCGGCATTGACAGTGTTATCGCATTGTTCAAACCAAAAAAAAAAAAAAACTAAAGTTTAACTAAGGGTGGGATTCCAAAGACTTGAAAGAAGATATACTTTCACCGGTATTGAAACAACTACTTTAAAAGAATTCACACCTTAGAAAGTAAAATCATTTTAAATAATTAGATGTTTATATTGGTCATTCAAAGTTGAAAGTATATTTCCCGAGAAATGTTTTACAGATCCATCTTATGGGATTGTTACACCTTTTCTTTAATTTCAGAAAATTAAAAAATATTATATTAGTAATTAGATAATTATCTTAGTTATCAAGAATAATAACATATCTCCTGAAAGATGTTTTAAGGTCCATTAAATAGGATTGTTGCATTTTTGTCCAAGTTTTTTATTCATTTTGAGCTTGAATTCTGTTCGTTATCTCCATAAATTACATTTATGCTTTAGCTTGTGCCCAGGGAACTTTTGGTGTTAACTGTACCAGTATATGTGGAGAGTGTACAGGAAATTGTGATCATAGATTCGGGAATTGTTCTCAAGGATGTAAAGCGGGATTTAAAGGAATCACGTGCGATGAAGGTATGGATTATTTCAAGTTTTAAATGAAACATATTTCTATGTGCAAAGTGTAAAGGATATCAAACAAAGCGTATCAAGATTTGCATATTTTATGCAGGAAAAATAACTATGTGTTTGCAATTATTAATGATATAAAATTCCTCAATGATAAAATGTTGATAATTGCATGGACTTTTGTATAAAAATTAACTTTTGTTCTTAAGAAAAATATTAGGAATTGAGTTTTTAAAAGATATTAGAACTCAGGGTACTCAATACTACATTTCAAAAATTTGACTTTTAAATGGATCTGTTTACAATATCGTAGTTAGAAAAAATAATTAAACCCAGCGAATGTCTATAAAATGGTTGGCGCAAATGATTACTTAGAACTGACATAAAATATTTTGTGAAATTTTATGAAAGTTGAGAAAGCTTTTAGCTGAATTATGCTAGAGACGTGACATATT